GTGCCGCGCCCGCTCGACGACGACGACGACGACGACGACGACGACGACGACGACGACGACGACGACGACGTGGCATCGCTCGGAGGTGTGCGCTTTTTCAAGCGAGGCGAGCGCCTAAAAACCTGCAGCATTTTGGGGCATTCTAGACCGTTTCGAGAAAGGAAACGCGCACGAAGCCAGGCAGCGCGCGGGGAACGGACGTCCGAGGGATGGCAAGATCCGGGGGCAGCGGGAGTGAGTTTCTGCAAGGGATCGAGGATCGGGGAGGCTCGAGGATCGGGGAGGCTCGAGGATCGGGGAGGCGCGAGGATCGGGGAGGCCCGAGGATCGGGGAGGTGTCCCCATAGGATTGCCAGGGAGGTCCCAGGTGGCTCCTGGACGGCCCCCGGCGAGGCCCAGGAGGGACCCCCATCCCCCAGGAGCTGCGGGCACCGCACAGTGGGCCCGGGTCTGCGTGGGATATCTCGGGTGCCCCGCGGGGAACTCCGGCGTGCAAGGGGATCTCGGGGACTGCAGCGCGTGGAGGTCTCCAAGGAAGGGGCGTTGCGGCGTCACAGTTGACGCAAGGCCGCCTGAGCCACCCGACCGCGTGCGATCGAGATCCCAGGGGCGGCCCATTGGAGGGCAGCGGTAGAAGGCCAGCCTGGCCTCCGCTTCCACTTGGCGGCTCGTGCGGCTCAAGCCACCTGCCTGGGCTCCAGGCCAGAGGCAGGGCGACAGCCGGAGCAGGTCACCCGCAGGGGCGCGGAGATGGCCGCGTTTCGCAGTTCGCAGCCTTTCCTGCAACCTTCTCCCGTAGACACGCTAACGGCGATGTAGGTTTTGGTGCTGTGGGAGCGCGCATCATTTGCTTTTTCATACACTTCGCTGTGTCGTTTTCGCTCGATACATCTGCATATTGGTAATGTAGGAAAGTGTGGATCGTGATTTCCTACAAGTTGGTTCCCAACATCGCCGTTCAGCAACATCGCCGTTAGCGTGACCTTGGTTCTCGGCGCAGGCAACGCGACAGGTCCGCAGGTCAGATCTGTGAAACACCGGTGGGTTGTCCTTTCCTCAGGCGATCGCAAACATGGATCATGGGGGCGCAGGTTCGCGAGGGTCTCCGTTGCCATGTGAAATCGCGGATTTCCGCCGCCGAGCGAGGCGGCAGCTGCCGCATTTCGGAGAGGGCACCTCCCCCGATCCATGGATTTGGCGACCGCGTGCCAAGTCCATGGATCGCTAATCCATGTTTGCGCGTCCCCGATTTCCTTGGCCGCACAGTACCAGTTTCAGGAGGGAAAAGAACACACAGACACAATTAATCGTCGGTTACCCAGAAAATATGGGAAAATATGGGAAGTAGGGGGGAAGTCAAAAACCGAGAAAATATGGAAAAATAGTGGAAATCCTGTTATATGTGTGTATTTATTTGTGTGTCCCAGGGCCCCATTCACAGTTCACCCTTCCCGCCTGTGGACAGCGAAAGAGCAGCCACAGGACACCACCGCACCACAGGCAGTGCCCGCGGGAGTTCTGGAGTCGCGCGCCAGCGACAGGGATCCGGCGCCGACCCGAGAATTCCGCGCAACTCTCGAAGAGTTCCTCCCAAAACAAAGCTTGCACTCTAGGCTTCGTTCTGGGGAACTTCGAAGAAGAAGCAGCCACATAAACACTAACTTTTGGCGCGCCGCGCAGATTTCTTGGATCTGCGCTGGGCCCGCCGGGCGGCGCTTCCGGCGCCGCCCCCGGCGCGCTCCGCGCGCCAGGGAGGGGGGTCTGGCGCAGAGCCAAGAAATCCGCGCGGAGCGCCAAAAGTTTCTGTTCATGTGTTTTTGTTCTTCTTCTAGAATTGGCTGGTGGTTCTGTGCTTTCGGCCCTTCGTCGCACGTGGCCGCCTCGCGGCCGTCTTGTAGCCGCCTGCTGCGCTGGCTGGTGTTTGTACTCAACTTTCGGGGCAGATGTACCATCCACGGTGCACAACATAGGTTGGGCTTCATATATCCCCCTTTCAGATACAGGATCGACTCCACCACCTTCTCCCTGACGGACTTATCGACACCCTCTGGAACTGCAAACTACGTTTCTGCCACATCGTTCAGTTTCCATTTAAATTCAGACCATCCCAGCTAGGCCAGTTATCGCCCCCCTTCATCTGTGTCAAATCAAGCTGTGCGCGCGCAACCGTTGATTGCCAAAGAGTATGTTTGATGAACCCGTTGCAAAACAAGGACGCTATGTCCGCACACGTGTGCGCACGTCGAAATCAACGAAATCGTGACAGTTCTGCCAGAATCTCAACATACCAACATCAACAACGCTTAGGCTTTTCCATCTGAGATCTTGCAAATTGTCTTCCCGCGCGCACTTGCTAGAATATGTTGGAAAGCATGTGGTTTCAGCAATCTCGTCCAGAATCCGCATTCTTATTTCACCACGCGGTGCATCCGCGTTGGTCAAGCATACGACCAGCGCGCGATTCCGTATCAAATAGCACCATTCGGGCGATGCGCGTGCGCCGCCATGCGCGCATGTCGAAATGGTTCCCAAACTTTTTAGTTTCAAACTATTTCAAGAAAGAGTTTTTCATACGTGTTAACCAGTGTGGACCAAAACTATTGTGTGTTCTAGCGTACTGTGTGGTGCAAGCTACGTGGTGCAATCTACGTGATGCATTGTATGTGGTGCAGTTTATGTGGTGCAAGCGACATGCTTCAACACGACGCATTGCGATGCAAAGCAATGCGAAACAATGCAAAGTAAGGCGCTACGAAGCAAAGCAATGGACAGCAAGGCAATACACAGCAATGCGAAGCAATGCAAAGCAATGCAAAGCAATGCACACACACACACACTCAAGTCAATGCAACGCAATGCAATGTAATCCGACTGCAATGCACTGCACTTGACATGCACTGCAATGCAACTGCAACGCAATGCGCTGAGATTGCAACGCAACACGATTGTAATGCAATGTGGAAGCAACGCATTCCATTGCAATGCAATGCGAAAGCGACGCGATTCGATGCAAAGCGACGAAAATCAATGCAAAGCATTGCAACGCAGTGCAGGTCAAAGCAAAGCAGTGCAAAGCAGCGCAGTGCGATTGCAATGCGATGCGATTGCAGTGCAATGCGATTGCAGAAGCCAGCAAGACCGACAGACAGGTCCAGACGACGGGCGGCAACGAGGCGGCGAGGAGGCGGCGAGGAGGCGGCGACGGGCGGCCACAAGCCTGCCAGACTGGCACTCCTTAGCGGCGTCTTGGGGGCCCCTGGGGCCTCTTGGGGGGCTCTTGGGGGCCTCTTGGGGCGGGAGGGGTGGGTAGTCGATTGCGGCTCCACCCTCGGGGGCCACGATCCTCGTGGGGGGTGTCGAAAAATGATCCTCCCCTGGGGCGTTCTGGGGGGATCGCCCGGGAGTGGCCTGGGAGTGGGGCACTTTTCCCCCAGGGGCTGCCCCGCGCGCGCGAACTAGAAATATGGTTAACCAGTTACCGGCGATCTTAGCACGCCTCTGGCCCTCTGGGCCCGCGAATTTATCTGAAGAGAGGCATGAGAACCTAAGTGTACGCCCTTCTTGGGTAACATGTATGACATATGCAAAAATCAAGTGCTCGTCAGCATGAAGTTCGCCAGGTTTTTTGATTGTCCGCGCGCGCACTTCCTCACCATCATCCTCATCAGCGCCACGCCATCAACGCCGTTTCCGTCATCGTCAATCGCCGCCATTGCTGCCATCATCAGTCAAGTACGTTTATCACCGACGCATGGACGTAATTATCGTCGTCGTCGTCACGGACATCGGCGCCGTCATTGGCCATGCTGTCGCCATCGTCATCATCGCCACCACCATCGCTATTGTATCATCATCATTGCCGCCGTTGCCAACGCCATTATGATACAGCTTCCGCCCGGATCACCGGCCCACGTTGAAGCACCCGCGCGCCAGCGCGCAAGCGCAGCCTCTGGGGTGCGCTGGGAAGTTCCCAACATCGCGGCCGCGTCGGTGGTGCCAAACCAGTTGACCGCTCTGCCCGCGAGCTCGCTCGCGCTAGCGAAGCCACAGAGATGCGCCAGCCAGCGCCAAGAAGTCGCCGCACACGCTGCCGCACGGTGGTTGTGCCATTCGAAATTGCAGGTGGGAGGGTGGCACGTTTGCGCGAGCATGGGGGTTGACGATTCACAAATTGTCTTTTGCTATTTCGATTGCGCCGCGTAGATTCCTTTCTTAAACAAATAGGTTCTACCACCCTCCCCCCCCAGGGTTACAGATCCCCTGGGAACCGGTGCAAAACACAGAGGATTCTGACCCAATGTCCATCCTACCTGTGAACTCAGACTATCCCAGCCAGGCCAGTATCGACCCCCCCAGCCATCCTCTGCAACAAAATAGTATGCGCGCGCACTCGTTTATCAAACAGCAGAAGCTTTCAAAAGTCCTTTTTGCAAAATCCGGACGAAGTGCGCACGCGCGCGTCGTCGCGCGCGCATGCCGAAATCCTTGAAACATTTTGTTTGGTCGGACAGATTCCAACATCGGGTGTCCAAAGCACATACAAAAACACAACGTCTCGCAACACGCATGTTCAACAAAAACGTGCGAACGCGCTCTTGCGTCGTCGTCATCGTCGTCGTCGCCGTCCCTCCTCCCTCGTCGTCGTCGTCGTCACCGTCGTTGTCCTCGGTCTTTCCTCATCGTCGTCCTCGTTGGCGTCGTCGTCGTTTCCGTCGTCCTTGTCGCCGTGGTCGTCCTTCCTCTTCCCTCGTCGTCGTCGTCGTCGCCGTCGCCGTCGTCGGCGTCTCGTCGTCGTCCCTCTTATTTCGTCGCCGTCGTCGTCGTCATCGTCGTCGTCGTCTTCCCTCCTCCCTCGTCGTTGTCGTCGTCGGCGTTGCCGTCCTGCCTCCTTCTTCGTCGTTCGCGTCGTCGCCGTCCTCCCTCCTCCCTCGTCGTTGTCGTCGTTGTCGCCGTCGTCCTCCTTCCTCCTCCCTCGTCGTCGTCGTCATCTTCGTTTGCGA